AGAATTATCCATCCTCCCTGTCTCTTGCTGATTTGTGAACTCTTCCCTTATCCATAGATCTGACAGGTAATTTCTTCCATGTTCCTCTAATTTGCTTATGATATATCCAAATCATGTACCTATTTTGAGTTTATCTTGGTATATGGTCTATGCTCAATTTCTGCCAGACTACTTTTCAGTTTTCTCAGCAGTTTTTGGGATTTTTATGTTTATCAAACACTAGGTTATTGTATTATTTACTTCTGTATATTGCATATTGTGAAAAATGATTCTCAGAGCTTCCCTCACCCCAGCCAGCTTCCTGCTCTGAAGTTCTTCAGAAGGACATTACTGATAATGAGATTACACAGAATCTTATCCTGGTCAAATTTCTACCCAGGCCTGAATTGATTTAATATGCTTAATCTTGGGTGGAGACAGATTGTTCTGCCTAGATAGCCCAAGGCTCAGAGTGGTCTAGTTGGAGGGTGGTCTGATAAAACAGGTATTTCCTCTGGAGGTATTTTACCAGGATTAAGTGACCTAAATCATGTACTCAAGACTCTCATTTTAATATATCCCACCTCCCAGTGTGTTAACCAGAATTGATTGGCACCCCTTAGAACACCTATTATTTGAAGGGCACATAACTGTACCCCCAAATTCCAAATCAATCCAGTTCTGGACTGTAACTCCCATGCAATGCATATCTAGCCAGCTTGAGAGAAATAAAAAGTGGACACATGACCTAAATTGTTTGTTTCTTTCCTGGAACAAACTGTTTTTGCGGTTGACAGTACCTAGTCTGTTCCATTGACCAACCATTAGCATCATTGATACTAATCATTGAGGAATGAATACAGGTAGATTAACACCTGCCCTCATATTAGGGTACTTTAACATAGAGACTGATACTCCCTCAAACACACTAACATCCTAATTCCTCAATTGGGTTTCCCATGATTTAGTCTCCCAATCCTCCTTGGTTACACAAAGAAACTATCATATCCTTTATCAGAATTATGAAGTCTTTTAAAGTTTTTTTTTGTTTTTTTGTTTTTTAGGCATTTGAACTCAGGTCCTCCTGACTTCAGGGCCAGTATTCTATCCACGGCGCCACCTAGCTGCCCCCCAAAGTTGTTTTTTCAAATGCTTGTATTGATATTCTCTTTCTTACATTACCGTAGTATAACTATATATCCAACTCCCTTCCCCTGCAAGAGCTATCCCATGACTAATAGTAATTTTTTAGAGAAAAAAAGTCAGACCAACTGATTGAAAAAGTCTCAAAACACATGGAATGTGTAATATTTGTGGACCTCCCAACTCTACCAAGGAGTAGGTTGGGTTTCTTCTCAGATTTCTTCATTTGAGTCTTACTTGATATTTATAATTTTGTTACATTTACTTTTGATGTTTTGGTGTCATTCTTTCCATTTGCATTGTTATATTTACTGTGTATAGTTTTCTTAATTCTGCTTATTTCACACTGCATCAGTTCATATAGATCTTTCCATGCATCTCTGTATTCACCACACACCTAATTTCTTACCGTGCGGTAGTATTCCATCACTTTCATGTGCTACAATTTTAGGGATTTCCCAGTTGATGGACATCCACTTTGTTTTCAACTCTCAGATGTCTCAAAAAGTGCTGCTATAAATATTCTGGAGTGTATGAGCACTTTTTTCTTATCAATGGCTTCCTTGTGGTATAAGCCTAACAACAGAGATTCTGCTTCAAAGGGTACAGACATTTTAGTCACTTTATTTGCATAATTCCAAGATATTTTCCAAAACAGTTATATCATTTCACCATTCCACCAAGTTGTTTCTCTTCTAAATATTGTTGACACTTCTGGCTGATAGCATTATGGAGAGAGAGAGAGAGAAAATGAGAATATGCTGTAAGGGCTTTGTTGTTTGTTCTTTCATTTTGATAAAGATTGGAATTATGACCTTTAAAGCTTTGGGAGATCAGAAGAGCAAGTCACCATCAGCAGATCTCTAGAAGATCTGATCTCTCCTGAAGAAGAGGTACTAGAATTTGCAGCCAGGAAGTCCAGCTGTAAGGCATCTAAGGGGAAGGTGAGAAGCGACCTTCTGAACCAAGCCAAATAGTAGCTGAGAGAAAGATACATCCAGCAGGAATGCTACATCCGGGATGTGAACTTGATGGGAGCAATGCTATGTAGAATCTCTATAAATCTGAATCTACTTTCCCTAGGGACCAAAGTGGAATGTGGCTCATGTTACCCCTACCCCCCAACTTTGGGGGGGGGAAATATTTTTCTTTTGTCCTCGCTAAATCTTTGAAGTAACAATCCCTTTGTAAAAAGTAATCAATATTGTTTAAATAAAATTGGAATGCTAGTCATTAGCAGCTAACTGGGGGAGAGAGGGGGAATATTCTGGAATAGGGTTTTAAGCATTTGAGAAGGAACATCCCAGCTCCTTGAGAGGTACCTGTAGAAGCCTACCGCACAAGAGGAGAGAGAACAGTGACCCCATTGTTCCCAGTCTTGCTTATCAATCAATGTTGATGGAGGCTCTGTAGAGGGAGGCTTAACCCAGTCTGCAGGTTTTGTATTACCTGCTAACCCTCAAATACTAGGTCACCCCCTGTTAGCTATCAGATACAGGCAATTGGGGAGGAGCTGAGATGCAGTGGCCTATCTCCTTTTGCAGATGTGGACCTATCTGAATTGTTTTTCTCTCACTAAAAAGTTATCAATAAAAGCTGACTCCATCTTGAATTCCTTGCTGATTTCTAGTGATCAGCCCATCAACATGTTGCTACTACCTTGATGTATTTTTAAATAAACTCCTTTTAATTCTCTTTTTCCTGTTTGCCTCATTAATCAGAGCAAAAGCCAAAACAAAGAATTTTCCTTTTAACAACACCTACCTGACCCTGCTCTGCAAGGATGCAAGAGGACTTGTTGCCACAGAAAAAAATAGGCTACATTTCCATTATAACCAAATGTTTATTTTATACTTATCTATTTACTTAATGAAGCTAATCAAAGAGATTAAAAACAAAAATCCATAAGTTCTACATGTATAATTGTTCTGATATTTGTTAGAACATTACATCTCTAAAAATAATATACCCAAGTTCCTTATATTTACTTGTATATTTTCCTTCCTCAAATAAATATCCTCCTTTAATTTCAAAAGGAAAAAATTTTGGGAATAATTTCCCTGGCTTACTGATGTGTTTTGTAGCAGTAGTAGAGTGCCCTTGAAAGTCTGATAAGAGTAACTGAAGAAAGTATTTTCTGAATATAAGAGAAAAAGGGCTCCAGCATTGTTCTTACTTTAAATATCCTTACCAAGCCTTCAAAGGCCTCTATCGTTGGGGCAATTATTATTCAGATGAAAGTTCTTGGAGCCTTTATATTCATATGACAATATCTGTAGCAATTTTCTTGCAAAATTATTTGTTTCTTCTTGCATTTTATCAGCAAGCCATCTGTTAAAAGGGGGAAATTATAACAAATGAATAATGGTACTAGATGTTTATATCTATGGCCTGAATCATTTCTGTAATAGTGGTGTTCAAACATTAGATACCAAAGAATGTAGTTCTTTCTACAAACTGCCTATGAATGAATGAAGGTATACAAATTTGAGCAATCATTCATCAAATATTTAACATCTGTGCAAGATACTACAAAAGACACAATTGTTGCACAAGACATGGTCTCTGTCCTTAAGAAACTTAAGTCTAGTAGTGAAAACATTACTCTTAAATGTGGTTAGGTACAATAAGAATGGCACAGAGTGCTAAAGGTGTCCAAAGCAAATCACAATTCCAGAAGACCAAAGTTGTTACTTTTGTATGCTAACCACTTCTTGTTAGAGAGGTAATAGATTTAAGGTGTAGAATGAGATATACATTTTTGTACATGGCCAATTTTAGAATTTGTTTTACTTGATTACACACTTTTATGAGGGTTTTGTTTTTATTTACTTTGTTGTTTGACAAACTAGTGGTAGACAAAATAAATGATTATTAATGGTAAAAATAATAAAATAAAATCAAAATAAAAGAGTCCAGAGGGGGTATCACTTGGAGCTCAAGAACCATGAAAAATATATTAGTACAATGTTAAACAAGAGACAAAAAGGATCTTCACTGGGCACTAAAGGCACACTTGGGGTTAACAAATGAAAAGGAATGTGGAATAGTTGGTGAGAGCTAGAGATTGACATGGTAGGTGTTCAAGTGGGCAACCATAATGTTTAAACAAAACAAAGCAAAACAAAAAACTCTGGGCTTGGCTCAGAAGATCAGAGTTTGAGTCCTGGCATCCACAGTTACCAGCCACATAACCACAGGCAATTTACTCTGAGCCTCAGTTTCCTAGTGGGTAAAAGGAAGGAAAACATTTGCACTAAAGATCTCACCACGTCGTTTTTGGGAGAGAAGTTTGTTAACCTAACAGCTCTATATAACTGTGTTAGTTTAACCCACACACAATGTGATCTAACCTCTGGCTGGAACCACAACTACCAAACAGATATAAATCAATAAAGCAGTCAGTATTCGCTATTAAAATGTCCGTCGGGCATGGCTCCTTCACCTTATAGTCATGGTCTAACTTCCAATTCCCCTTGTTTCTAAATCCTTCTCTCCAACACGCTCAAGGTTGTTAGCGCTCTTCTTCCTTACTCTTGCGCTTAAGCTCATTCCCTACCCCTCCAGAAGGGTCTTCGGACCGCCTTGCTCCCTCGCTCAGCCCTTCGCCCTACACCCTCGGCAGGCGATGAATGGGGCAGCCTACACAGCAGGAAGTCCCGCCCCTGGACAGACCCAAAGGGAAGCTCTGACCTTCCGGTTCTAGCGGCTCCTCTGCGCGCATGCCTAGATTGCCTCAAAGGAAGGAGTTTTGCAACAAGATCGGGAGATGTCTGCCAGTTGCCGTGGGTTTCATGGCACCTCCCTTCCGAGGGCAGGGCTGACGTGCACAGTGGTAAAGTTTCAGCTTTTCGGGAGCCAATGCGGAAGGGAAATGAGGGCTCTGAAGCCCGGTCGTGGCTCTTGTCTCCCGGGGTTTGGCTCTTCGTTTGGCTCCTGCTGACGGCTGCGCAGACAGAGCTCAGGTAATGGTGACCCCTGCTGCTGCCGCTGCCGCTTCATTTTCTTCGCCAAGAATGGTTACCTGTCGGCCCCGCAGAATACCGCATCTCTCCCGTTCGCACTATAATGACTCTCTGGGTTTTCTGGTTAGATTTTAAAAGCGCTTTGAGATGCCTGGTGGGCTTGGATGTTTTTCCATGCCCAGCTTCTGCTCCTTGAGCCTAGTGATAATCATTTGAGATCAACTGAGCCCCAATAAGGGCCAAAAACCTGAATTAATCTTTTTTTCTGAGTGAACTAAAAACACCCCTTCCTGTGTCGGCAAATTTCAGGACCAGATGGAGCTCACCAACATTCTTCCTGTTCGTCATCACTGAGCCCAGGATATCTGGGACCAGACACTCTCTTGATTAATGAGACTTTTCTTTCTTTTGTATCCTATAGACGTGTGTTATGTAGAGGAAACACATATCCTGGATCTATAATTTTGATTGATACTTTGATATTCTATTGTATTTACAATCTATGTAATTAGTAACTTCCTTTTTTATGCTGTATGTTAAGAAACATATGGAGGCTATAACTTTTTCTGTAATACAGACATCCTGAGTCTGATCACTCTAAACTGTATAAAACGTCTCTCATTTTGCTTAATCTCCGAGTCAATCACATTCTGGCTTCCATGTTAACATGATTCGCTAGCTAAAAGGGAATAAACTATATAATCATGTATCACCTAACTTGTTTGCCTTCTTTAACCAAACTTTCAGGTTAACACTAGCCTCACTTAATCCGAGCCTGAAGAATGGTATTCCTGGCCAAGTGAGTGAGTGCTGCTCTCACAGGAACTCGGCATTTAATGATATTAGGGAATTAGGCCCAGGAGACAAACAGCAAGTTAGGCAGGAGCCTTTTTACTTCCGGGTCAATTCTCACGCTGATGGCTTTAGCCAGAATTAGCAACAAGTTCCTATTTGCTTAAGTAATTGAGATTTGGAATTACCAAATGCTTGAGTTACAAGTGAGCCTGGGTGCAGCTTTTTGACTGAGTGTAAGTTTTACAGAACAAATATTTTGTTGTTCTGTGAAGTTTGGATTCAGTCAAAGGGCTGCACTTGAGGACCTAGAGGGCCACACAAGGCCTGGAGGCCGCAGGTCCCCACCCCTGTCTTAGATCACTATTTTGTTGAGAATAGCTAAGTCATTCACAGTTCTTCATTGTAAAATATCGTTTTTACTGTGTACAATGATCTGTTCCAGTTCAGCTCACTTCACTCTGTAAGTCTTTGTAGGTTTTTCTGAAATCATCCAGCTAATCATTTCTTTTAACACAATAGTATTCTATCATAAATCATATACCACAGCTTGTTCTGCCATTCCCCAGTTAATGGGTATCCCCTCAATTTCCAATTCTTAGCTGTTGTCTAGGGATGCTGGGAACCCCACAATTCAGGGGCAAAAGACACAAGTCTTGCCTGGAAAGAATTCCACTGGAGACTTCTTTCAGAGATAGGGTTTATCAAAACACCAGTTGAGGTGGGCAAGATTTTAAGAATCCCTGCCATTGGCTAGATTTTTAGAATCTGAGCCATTGTCCAGATTTTAGGAATTGGAGCAATTTAATTGGGAGCAACGTGAACCTTATGTACAGAAAACCTGTGGGAAGATCTGGATGTGATCAAGGAGTGACCAATAGCTTTGGGGAGACTGGAATGGGTCTAGATGGAATTAAGGGTGGGAAATGGTTGAGGGTGATCTGCTTTGTAATGACAATGAAGGGCTGAGCTAGGTTAGCAGTAACAGAGAATTGGAGATTGCAGCAGGGTTAAAGCCACAATGCCAAGACAGTTGAAAGGATTATTAACTGGGAAGGGCGGGGTGCCCTAGGCAACCTCCTGGAACTTGGGCCACCCTGAGAAAGTTCATGGCTTTTAGGAGTCCATTATTAGGGTCCTACCATAGCCACCACAAAAAGAGCTGCTATATTTTTGTACAAATAGGTTCCTTTCCCTTTTTTTTTTAAAATATCTTTGGGATATAGAGGTAGCAGTGGCGCGATTGGATCATAAGGTGTGCACAGTTTTATAGCCCTTTGGGTATAGTTCCAAATTGCTCTCCCAAATGGCTGGCAGTTCACAACTACATTAGTGTCCCAGTTTTCCCACGTCCCCTCCAGCATTTATCATTTTCCTTTTTTGTCATATTTGTCATCATGACATATTTGTCATTTTGTCATCAATAGGTGTGAGGTGGTATCTCAGAGTTGTTTTAATTTATATTTCTTTAATCAATAGTGATTTAGAGCATTTTTTCATATGATTATACCTAGTTTTGATTTCTTTGTATGCAAACTGCCTGTTCATATCCTCTGACCATTTATCAGTTGGGGAATGATTCCTCATCTTATAAATTTGACTCAGTTCTCTATATATTTGAGAAATGAGGTCTTTATCAGAGATAGTTTCTGTAAAAAAATGTTTTTTTTCAGTTTTCAGCTTTCCTTCTAATTTTGGTTGCATTGCTTTTGTTAGTGCAAAAACTTTTAAATTTTATATAAACAAATTATCCATTTTACATTTTGTAATGCTTTGTATATCTCCATTAGTCCTAATTTCTCTTATTCGTAGATCTGATAGGTAAACTATTCCATGCTTTCCTAATTTGCTAATGGGTATCATCTTTTATGGGTAAATCATATACCTATTTTGATCTTATCTTGATGTATAATGTGAGATGTTAGTCTATACCTAGTTTCTGCTGTACTGTTTTCCAGTTTTCCCAGCAATTTTTGTCAAATAATAAGTTTTTACCCCAAAAGCTTAGATCTTTGGGTTTATCAAACACTAGATTACTATGGTCATTTACAACAATGTATTGTGCACCTAATCTATTTCACCAGTCTACCATTCTTTCTTAGCCAGTACCATATTGTTTTGATAATTACTGCTTTATAATACAGTTTGAAATCTGGGCCACCTTCCTTCACATTTTTTTCCATTGATTCCCTTGATATTCTTGACCTTTTGTTCTTTCAGATGAATTTTATTGTTATTTTTTCTAACTGTATAAAATACTTTTTTGATTTTGAGTTTGTTTGGTATGGCACTGAATAAGGAGATTAATTTAGGTAGAATTGTCCTTTTTGTACAATATTGGCTTAGCCTACCCATAAGCAATTGGTTATTTTTCCAGTTGTTTAGATCTGACTTTATTTGTGTGAAAAGTGTTTTGTAATTGTGCTCACATAGTTCTTGGGTTTGTCTTGGCAGGCAGACTTCCAAGTATTTTGTATTGTCTTCAGTTATTGTAAATGGAATTTCTCTTTCTATTTCTTGCTGCTGGACTTTGATGGTAATATATAGAAATGCTGATGATTTATGTGGGTTTATTTTGTATCCTGCAACTTTGCTAAATTTGTTTGGTCACTGTGCCAAGGAAAAACAAGGGTGCCCTTTAGTTAGCTTCCTATGATTAAGCAAGTAAATTTGTAATCTGTGACTTATATCTCTAGGGCCAAATATACAGAACTTATAATCATTACCCCTATCAGATTGTTTGATTGATATGGATTGGAATAGAGTAGGGATCCTCAGTGAATCAGTTTTCTTGGCTGTTACTTTTTACAGTGTTCTCTTGGTTCTGCTCATTTCGCTCTTCATTATTTTGTGCAAGTCTTTCCGTGTTTTTCTAAAATCATTGAGCTCATCATTTCCTATAGCACGGTGGGATTCCATCACAATCATGTACCACAACTTGTTCTGCCATTCCTCAATTGATAGGCATCCCTTCAATTTCCAGTTCTTTGCCAACATAAAGAGAGCTGCTATAAATATTCTAGAACATATAGGTTCTTTTCCTTTTCCTCTAATCATTATGACTATAAATTGTTTTGTTTTCTTAATTGGAAAACTGTTCATATTCTTTGACCATTTATCAACTGGGAAATGAAGTGTATTCTTATATATTTGAATATTATATATTTATATGTGCTTCATTGCCAGTGGCACCCTCCATCAAAATGTAGTTATCCTGTTTATCCCTGTTAGTTAATCTATTTTAGCCATAACTTTGTCTGAGATAATAACAGCCATCCCTGCCCCCTCTGCATCAACTGGAGCACAACAAACTCCACTCCAACCCTCCACCTCAACTCTGTGTCCACCTCTCAATCCCACATGTGCCCACTGCAAACTCCTAGACTGTGACCCTCAGTCCATTCTGCTATCTGCCATCTGCCTCTGTTCAGTGGGTGAACTCATCCCACCCAACAAAGCCACAATAGCTATTTGTGAATTTCCCTCCATGTTATTTTTACTCATTGTTTTCTTTCTCAGCTTCTCTTTTCACTCTGTTACATTGTTTCCTGAATTCAGATTAGACTAAGGTTCCAATATTAGCAGCTTCCCCCCCCACCTGTTTCCTTTATATTCTTCCTTTCACGCCCATTTTTATGACATAATTTCTCTTTTTAACCTCTTTCTACCCAATTTTGTTTTTTTTAGAATCACCTCATCATCCATAACACAGCCTCAACTTTGAAACTATCTTAGTAATGATAACATTTTAAGAAAAATATTCCTAATAATAACTAATAATTATTAATATTAATAACATTTTAATTTATTATAAGTAAACAGTTTGACCTTAATTAGTGCCTTATAATTACTATTATGGTCTTTAATTATTTCTTTATATTTCTTCTATATCTTTTATATCAAAATTTCTATTGAATTCTGGTCTTTTTGTTATTAATACATGAAAGTTTTTTTAGTTTGTCAAATGCCCTTTTTTTCCATCCAGTTTGGCTGCATAAGTTATTCTTAGATGCCACTCCAGCTCCTTTGCTCTTCAAAATATAGTGTTCTAAGACCTATGGTCTTTTAGTGTAGAAGCTGCAGGGTCTTGTAAAATCCTGGTTGTTTTTTCCACAGTATTTAAATTGTTGTTGTTTTATTTTCATTTGCTTGCAATATTTTCTCTTTCACCTGGGAATTTTGAAACTTGGCTATGACATTCTTATAAG